CTAGCTGGCACACTGCACAGGGCACTATCGTCATCTTTGCGAATTTTTGAGCGCTTTTTATTCATTGCTTCATGACGCGCGCTCGACGTTATTTTGTGCGGCCCATAATATACGTAAGTTTGTTATTCTTTATCGTGGATTTTTAGAGCTCTTACTTTTTAAGACTCATTGCTCAAGTTCACGCTAAGTTCTCACTTAAAGAGGCCCTGCAACGCTTTTCCAGAAATCCGTCCAAATACTTTATCAAAAGACTTCATTGCTTCATGATTCAAACCACAAAACGTTTTTTCTAGAATCTGTCAAGCACGAGTGGACTCAGCGGAGTTAGTAGTAGAAGTTTTTATTGTAGAAATGACGATCAATTTTGCAGCCTGAGAGAGCTATAGGAATTCGTCACCCGTTGTAATTGTTTTTTCTCATCTCTCTTACCGATGAGTTCGCTGAATGCTGAGCAGAGAGAAGTGGCACGAGAGAAGGAACTTACGTCATGTTCGTGTGATGAATTGAAGCGCTCTTTGTTTTTCTTCTTCGAGGGCGTGACGTACGTTTAGAGCAATGGTGCGCCTGCGTGCGTGCACGTGGCGGCCTCCCATGGCGGCCGTAGTAACTCTGCGGCTCACAGTGCTCAAATCAACCAATTGGCTTAAAACTACGATATATGGCATAGTCTTTTGAATATATGGCAATACTTCTAGACAAAACAAAGAATGATTTCAAGCTAACTTTGATAATTAATGGTAAACCTTTGGCTACGTGCTGCGCTATCTTGTTGGGTCACGTGTTCTCATGAGCCTCGGCTATCAATCGGCTGGTTTTTTTTTTTTGCCTTGTCAAAAAAGTGTTGCATGGCCCCTTTATTTCGTGATTCGAGCCACTGCCTTGTGAATGTTTTCACCCCATCAGCCCGTCTACTTAGCTATCTACATCTTGGATATCTTGTGATCAATACCTGCATTAGCACCAATGATTCCCTGACGACACCTCATTGTATGACGAACATCCAGAGAGAGATTATCACGCGAATACTATGATACGCTTGTCGTCTACTTTAAATTTCACGTTTATTCCTTAAAGACCCCACTAGGGGGTATTATAAAAGGGTGGGTTACGATACATACAGCAGGTTGAACACTTTATTATATGGTATATTGTGATGCGATCACTTCAATGAAGTAACATAAAGGACAAAATGTAATCGCATGCAATAGGTATTGTTTCATCAACTTCATTTCTATGCTTCAGTCTACACCACATGACGTGATGACGCGTGTTTTTGATGACATACCTGAAAAACAAGTCGCGACATACATATTTATGGCACGCGCGTTTTGTGTTGGATTCATTTCGTTGTCTTTCACTTGAGTCACTTGTATAAGAGCCAAAGGTCCAACTACCACGTGACCGGTGCGTGGCTTGTCAGGTGGTATGGAGTACCTTCAAAAACTTAACGCGCGCGAGCTAGCGCATTACGTATGCCTTACGCGCTTTTCCCTTTGCTGATGGCTTCCTTACGAAGTTATTTGGAGAAGCCAGGACGTTTTCAGTTCACTAAAAATGTTATTCGATTCCGTCAACCTCCGTGTCTTGAATGGGGGGAGTGACTGCGGGTCTGTGGCACAAACTGCTTTCTGCGAAAGATCGGGCACCGTCACGCCCTATCGTGACAATGATCAACAGATAGCTAATACTATATTACGCGTGCTGAGTATTCTATGGAGCCTTCGCTACATGTGGTAGCGAAGGCTCCACAGAAACCCATACGTTCAGAAAATGGCGGCTGATCAGCTACTCATAGTGCTTAGCTCCATCTCTGTGAGGAGGGAATGCTTCCAGAGAAACAAAGATAACGCGGATGTGACGCAATGACCGGTAAACAAGTGACGTCATTTTGTGTGCACTAGCGCGAAATCCGATCTCAAATTACCCTTTATAGGCCCTTGATCGCTAAGGGCTCGAAGTAAGGTGATCGCCGTTGAGACCTCTATTAGTGCGCTTCATGTCAACGCCAGCAAATCTAATATCGACTCATGATCAGACAGTAAGGTTTACGTGTACTACCGTTCACTTTGCCTCGGTTTTACAAGAAAGCTTATTCTTCGAACTCTCATCCTGCGTTCGTGGCATCTTCCGCGCAGATGCATTCAATTGCAACCAACAGTGTATGCCTGTCGTATCTTCAGCTTTGCTTATTTGCTTCACACATACGCAGGTTTTTTAGCATGCACAATGCTTGTGTTCGTCATATTTAGGACAGAACGACGCCTAGTCACCCCAAAGGTATGACATTTCAGTTTTATTCAATGGTCACAAGAACTCAAATTTATTACACTGCACACAATGAAAATAGGCACAAAAAAGTCTGCAGACACTACTTCCGTCAAGTTTTTTTTTTAAATATGCTCCGATAAGTTACCTCTACATACGACAATGCAGACAGGCAAACTGTAGCATGATAGGTAACTTGGTGATCAGCCCCTCGATAACGTCAAGAGTAGGCACTGCCTACTCTTCGCGCACTTCTTGAGTTGTCACTGCCTGCTCAAGAAGGACACCGGGCTGCAGGAATAATGAATGAATGAAAGTGAGCGAGCACTGTATTCTAATACAGTGCCCTTGTTTCTTACCTAGAAGATATGGGTCCCCAGGCATACGTTTTTTTTTTTTTTTTACCTCTCCTTGCAACACGCCTGTTGCCGAGGTGGGGTCTGTCACTTGGGATTCTATTCTCGATAGCCATTGCCATCGCGAAGCGCCAAGAACCGCTCTCGAAATAGATGCCGATGAGCATGGTGTTCAATGAATGAATAAATGAATGAATGAATGAATGAATGAATGAATGAATGAATGAATGAATGAATGAATGAATGAATGAATGAAAAAATTAAATCAGAAAATTTAGATCAAGAGAGGACTGGGCGGATTCCCATTCCGGGACTCCATTTTATTGCGCTGCAATTCGCGCTCGCTTCACAAGTTTCCTCCGTACCCGATCTTTAGCACAATGATATCAGCAATAGTAGGCAACCGAAATATTGATGACGGTATAATGCCATTAATGAAAAGTTTCGTGTCTTTTACGTGTAATTTCCAATCGAAAATTCCCCTCAAAACAGCTGCTTGTGCTGAAGACTGACAGACCACCGGCGTCACTTCAGAGATTGCTATCGCGTTGACGGACCCACTTAAGCTTATATTATCACTCACACATGGCTTCTTTCTCGTTGATTGCAGAAGAAGGAGACAAAATATTCGACGACACACCACTGCCTTCGTTTCTATCAGATCGATGAGCAAAGATCCCCGAATGAACACGCGCTCATGCTCTCTCACAAGTCTCGGCGTGAACTTGCTGCAACCGAGCGCGGCGCCATAGTTGTTTACAGGGGAAAGTGAAAAGCGAAACGACACCAGATAACTAGAAACAGCAAAAAAAGATACTGCAAGGAATAAGCTTTTTTATAAGAACTCGATCAATCTTGAGCATGATCTTTATATATTTTGTCTTTATATTTTCTTTTATACTACGTAATATATAAAGGTTAGCGTTCTCCCACTATACGCAGAAGCGTAGCGAAAATGCGCGTGCACAGGCTTCGTAGCCAATGCTGCGCCGCCACAAAGTTGTCGAGAGGTATATAGCTTTCTCTGTGTGGTTTCTTTACGCATCTATATTGCTAGGTGGAGCACTGCACCTGCACCATAGTGTGGCACCATAGTTCTGCCATTGCTACGGGTTCCGTTATGCTATTTTGCTTTTAGGGGCGAAGCTCTAGAAGCCGTGGGTCTGTCCGTGCATGTCTTTTTGTGACCGGCTCATAACCACCTAGTGGTACGACTTACTCAGAAAGTGGCGCAAATGTGGGTGGCAGACAGACAGACAGAAAGACAGACAGACGGGTGGATGGACGGACGGATGGATGAATGAAGGAACGCTTCGCCCCACTCATCATCGTTCACTCTATGGATCTGGTGTGATTTTGTTCTTGTTAACTGCAGAAAAGCTGAAAATTTTAATTGATATTCAAGTAAAATACTTCAGAAATGGCATTTTTAGTAAACCGCTTTCGTGCGATTTAAAGCTAATGTAATTATTCTAGTTCACTTCTTGGTTTCTTTGAGTGTGTGTGGTTTTTAACACCGGAAAGTACCTCACCGAAAAGTAGCTCATGTGTCTACATCTCACTCTACACCGGAAAGTACCTCATGTGTACCCTTGGCAATTTTCATGGACGAGTGGTTGAACCTAAGCGTTCGTCCATGAAGTCAAGGAAGAGCTTGTTTAGTGCAGCGCTTAAAAATGCGTTAATCAGTGTCATTCTTGGTCGGCTAAGAATTTCTGGACACGGAGATCGGAACAAGCTCAGTTGGGCTAGTGTAACACCAAGAGATGCTCATTAGCCTCTATAAAGAATATACTCATATAAAAGAGCGTTATCTCGTTATAACCTACCACTTCGGACGTGAAACGTATGTTTAAATAAGTCAACAATGTCTATAAAAGCGCTAAGAAAGCTTTGTTTTTTGCATAAAGATCGCACAGTTGTTCGCGTATCTCAATATTGTAGCTTCCGTTCAAGTGTACCTGCAATTATTTTTCGTTACTGCAAGCTACGGAGTTTTCACTGAGCACGAAGTGCTCCCATCGATATTTTTTCTTAAGCTGATAACAATAATTTGTGGTGTCTTACGTTCCAAAGCCACCTCTTTTTTATTAGACACGTCGCAGTGGATAGCTGGGGAAGTTGACATCTTCTGTTGTTGTTTACTTGCCATGACAACGCATAGTACACAGGCCTCTAGCATTACGCTGTAATTGAAATCAGACTGCTGTTGACGGAATCCAACCCCTGACTTTTCAGTCAGCGGTAGGGTTTCTTCAAAGCTGATCTGCGTCATCTGCGTAAAGCGGGAATTGGGGAGCTCGAAGAGACATCATGCCACGACTTTGCATCTTTCTGCAAAATTCATTTCGTCAGTCTAACGACAGACACAGTCTTTAC